TACAAACGTTGATGAAGTCATATGAGGTTAACTCAAACACGTTAGATACAAACGCTGACGAATTCATATGAGGTTAACTCTAACACATTAGATACAAACGCTGACGAAGTTATATGAGGTTGACTCTAACACGTTAGATACAAACGCTGATGAAGTCATATGAGGTTAACTCTAACACGTTAGATACAAACGCTGACGAAGTCATATGAGGCTTACTCTAACACGTTAGATACAAACGCTGATGAAGTCATATAAGGTTAACTCTAACACGTTAGATACAGACACTGATGAAGTCATATGAGGTTAACTCTAACACGTTAGATACAAACACTGATGAAGTCATATGAGGTTAACTCTAACACGTTAGGTACAAACGCTGACGAAGTCATATGAGGTTAACTCTAACACGTTAGTTACAGACGCTGATGAAGTCATGTGAGGGTAACTCTAACACGTTAGATACAGACGCTGATGAAGTCATATGAGGTTAACTCTAACACGTTAGATGCAAACGCTGACGAAGTCATATGAGGTTTACTCTAACACGTTAGATACAGACGCTGATGAAGTCATATGAGGTTAACTCTAACACGTTAGATACAAACGCTGACGAAGTAATATGAGGTTAACTCTAACACGTTAGATACAAACGCTGACGAAGTCATATGAGGTTTACTCTAACACGTTAGATACAAACGCTGACGAAGTCATATGAGGTTGACTCTAACACGTTAGATACAAACGCTGATGAAGTCATATGAGGTTAACTCTAACACGTTAGATACAAATGCTGATGAAGTCATATGAGGTTAACTCTAACACGTTAGATACAAACGCTGACGAAGTCATATGAGGTTGACTGTAACACGTTAGATACAAACGCTGATGAAGTCATATGAGGTTTACTCTAACACGTTAGATACAAACGCTGACGAAGTCATATGAGGTTAACTCTAACACGTTAGATACAAACGATGATGAAGTCATATGAGGTTAACTCTAACACGTTAGATACAAACGCTGAAATACAAACGCTGATAAAATCATATGAGGTTAACTCTAACACGTCGGATACAAACGCTGATGAAGTCATATGAGGTTGACTCTAACACGTCGGATACAAACGCTGATGAAGTCATATGAGGTTGACTCTAGCACGTTAGATACAAACGCTGATGAAGTCATATGAGGTTGACTCTAACACGTTAGATACAAACGCTGACGAAGTCATATGAGGTTGACTCTAACACGTCGGAAACAAATGGACACATCTGCTTCCCGATATCTATTCCTTTGTAAATAGTGCTGGATAATTGAGGTTAAGGTCAAACATAGATGGACATTGAAATCATGAACCTAATTTCATTAGTCAACACTGTGACAACCTTAACTCCACATTAAGTGTGACATCCATACTTAAAACAGTAGCTAAGATATCTTAGGAAGATTTCCGCCTGCACTGTATTTTAAATTTCAGATCATGTTGAGGTTTGACGTGAATGGTTTTATTATCCAAAATATTCCTTAATATGTATATAATATACCCTCGCATCAAGACTGAGTGAGGTCAATACATGAAGTGGTTAGGATATGTTTCCAAAACCTGTGTTATATTGTCTTAATCTAAGTTCTGAAGGTCAAGCTCAAAGGTCAAATAGAGGCCATAAGAATTATGACGTACCATTATATGAAGTAAGATACACATTCATGAAACATGGGCTGAGATTTGCCCCCGAAATCATTATTGTAGTACGCAGTCAAGGTCAAAGTGCATAAGGTCAAATAGATGATTAATACCTTTTAAGAGCGTTAAGGTTAGGAGCGTGAGCTTGTTTGCTATTCCTCAGGGACATGTCACTTTCTATATAACAAAGAATATATAGATAAAAGTGAGCGTCACATTAATATAACTACTGTATATATTGTGACTCCCACTTTTGTATAGATATAAATATATGTGGGTGTCTGTATGTCTGTAAATTTTAGCTCACAGGACCGTAGGACAAAGATAAGGTTATGCCATGCCATTGCGTCCGTCTACTGGGACCAAGGTAAGTTTATGCAATGCCGTTGCGTCGGACAACTAGGACCAAGATAAGGTTATGCCGTACTGTTGCGTCGGTCTACTAGGACAAAGGAAAGGTTTCAATCTAGATATAACAAAGCAAGTCTCAGCTACGGAGTACGGTGACTAGACTAGTAACATTTCATATCTTTGTTAAAGAGGGAATGCAATAACCTGTCTGATACACTTTTTGGTCTTTTTTTCTGTAACAGCGCATGCCTGTATGACTTTTTGAGATTAGGATATAAGTGTTACTTGATGATGAATGTTTAAGGTCAACGTTAACGATGTGTGTCAAAAACGCAAACAAGTCGGGAAACCTGATATTGTATTGCCTATTGTTCAAAGTAGCATCTTTGACGGCCTGTACAAATCGATGCACGGCGCATATCCTCTATATTGTTTTCTGGTTTTAGACATGAGGATATACTATAGTTGAATATCTAACTTTGCCGAAAGAAAAAAATATAATTTTTGGTTTTACTATTGGTCACGTTTAGATTGAAACAGTGACACGTACATCACACATATTTACAAACAGACACAGTACACCACACATCTTTACAAACAGACACAGTACAACACACAATCAAGAAGCTGTTTCGTCCTTCCAGGGCTCGTCGGTGATGCTAGGGGCCCAAAAAGGCGGATATCCAAATCGGTCTAGACTAATGTTGAAACAGAACAGGTGTTGCAAAACCCCTTAATAACATGAATTTCGAAGTTTACAGAAGTACTGGCTAATTTCAAATTGATACTGAGGAAGTCGTTTGTAGGAAATTCATAAAAATTACACAGACAACTCTTTACGTGCAGATATCTAAGATGGCCACTGGTTCGTATCCTACTCAAAATAAACCTTGAGTATGTAAACAATCATCAAGGTCAAAGCAATGACGCCGACGGATGATATCCCTTAGGTCGACTTCAGTCTGTAGACGACATACCCGCACACAAACAAATCTTTCTACACTTGAAAGCTTTATGGCTTGTTGAATCGACGTAAGAATATCTATTAGGAAACTTGTCATCTTTACAAATATTTGATTATGTAGGGAACATTAGGACACACAGACTGGCCGAAGTAATAGTTTATATAGTTCGTAAATTGAAGTCGATGTATTTCTGCGAATATCTGGCAGGTGACCGATTTTGTCGTGTGTGACCGGATATTAGATTCATGACTGGATGAAAATGTTTGCAATAACTAAACTATGAACGGGATCATTTCAAATATTTCCTTGTTTTTGATATTCCAGAGAGTCGAACTAAGTAGGTTTGAATCATACGAGAAGAGCTCACTTCCATCACAAGTAGTTCGTATTTGTCATACAAGGAAACAGATCTGCGGATTTGATAAACATAAACATAAATGTTGATATTCAGATTTATCAAATATAAAGAAATAAGAAATCAACTTTTAAGCAAAGAATGATAACTGTCTGATAGCTGATGCTTCTCAAATCTTTATTCGTACAGTTTTCTATTTAACAAGTTATGAATGTTCTTTTCGTCGTGATTGTAATTCCCTGCAGGTAGGGCGTAAGAATTGTACCCACTGCCCCCGTTGCATGATCGTAAGAGGCGACTAAATTTGGGATCTTATCTTTTCTCTTCTTTTTAAACAACTTTCTTCTTCCTAATGTCTCCCTTGACAATGCCTCACTTTTGGCCTTTAGTTTAGCGTTCGCCCCTGTTAGGAATGCTTTGGGTTCTGTCCCATGGCCGAGACATACCAGAGTCTGTAAAAATGGTAGTTTCTACTCCTGCTTAACGCTCAGCAATTTAGGAGTGGGACGACTGGTTCGCCCGTTGTCAGTATAATATGACCGGATGGGGTGTCCTGCTGGGTGTCTTCGGCAGTATGTTTCAGTGAGGTAGCACTATAAAGTCGGCATCAGTTCCGCGCTATCACAAGGAGATAAGCACGAACATATCGCAGCCTCCCAAAACACACACCCATACACTTCACGCATGCATCTTGCACACAGGGGAGGCTGTCCTTAAATAACCATAGCTGTTGATAGGACGTTAAACAATACTAAACCAAACCAATCATGATTGTGAAAACATGCCAAGTCATTTACTCAACCATTGTTTTTCAACATCAAACAGAAATTGACGAGATAGAAATATCCGTGTTGATGTACTGAGAAGCGCGATCTTAGCATTTTACGCGGCGTTGTAATAATTGTGACGTCACAACTTCTTGATAGATAAAATCTGGGTAAGAATGAATAATCTATAACTACAGTCAAACTTGCCTTGGAAACCACTTATCTATAGCACAATACAGTGGTCCAACTATTAACGTTTTGGTACATAATATATTATATACTTTTGCCTGTAATCTGAAATGTGAGTGTGTGGATGTGAGTGTGTGTGTGTGTGTGTGTGTGTGTGTGTGTGTGTGTGTGTGTGTGTGGATGTGTGGATGTGTGTTTGTGTGTGTGTGTGTGTGTGTGTGTGTTACTCCGGCATTTTTGACAAATACGTAGACACATCAAATTTGAACATGTATATTCACAAATCAGCAAATGAGCATTGGTTTAGCCTATCAATAAAAATGCGTGACTGATCACGATACTACAATGAATTTTAGCTTTCTGGAGCATTTTACCGAGAATCGTTGGGAACGGTCACTTGCGGGTCCCATTGGTCCCATTAAGGAGGCACGGTTGTCTAGAGGTAGGACGCCGGGCTCCTGACCGAAGAGTAACGGGTTCGAGTCACGGCACGGCACTGTGTTGTATCTTTGAGCAAGATATTTTACTCCGCTTGTCTACTCAGCTGTAATTGAGTACGTGGTTGGGCAGTGCTAGAATTGTTGAATGCTAGCTGTGAGCGCCGAAATGGCAGCACTGGTTGTATGATCCCCAGGGAGTTGAGAAAGATATTGGCTGGTTGCAAAGGCCCTATAACCACGATAATAATGTTTAGTTTTACTAAAACGTAATTATCACTTGATTAAATTTCTTCTTCGTCTGGAATGACGATTTTCTTATATTCAGTCCTTTATAGATATAATTTAGCATTGCAAGTGAGTCCAGCTTAATGATGGGTCATATTTCCGCATTACACAGGCCATTCGGAACAGTGTGTTCCGAAAGCCGTTTCCCGATCGTCAGTGGATTGTGAGCAGACGTTACCTTTCAGGATGGAGAAGGTCCCAACGATAAGTTAAATTCAACACAAGGTAATGATCAGAAGTCATCTGTTATGTTATATACTTTGCTGTTGATTTGTTTAAATGGGGAAACTAGTCAATGTTTGCCACTTAATTTATTAAGGTGCGGTCATGAATGTCCTGTTTTATCACTTCCTAGTTGTAAAGTTTACAAGCCGAGCTGTTTCGTCTTGGTTTACAGAATATTGTACCGTTTAACGCTTGTCACATTATTAAACAGCAGTCAAGACATTATTTGTGTGATTAATAGGAGACTTTTAAGAAAAATCGTGAACAGATTCTACTGTAGCTATATAATACACACATACTTTCGGTCGAAAGGAAAGTGGATATTCCGATGAGTCAGGTTTACCGAGAAAACAAATGTACACACGCTTACGTATCTAAACGGCGCAGGGTCCTTGAGGACATGTACTGCGCATGCGTTGTGTACAGCAGTCTCTGTGACAGCCACAAAGTATACCAGAAGCTAGTTTACTATGATTACATCAATGATGGCTGATTCCTTGGATTCTGTGCATCTTATATCTTTTAACTGACCCCACATAATCCTTTCTGTAACCCAGTCACCATTTCCAGAGCTTGAAGGCTTTCAGTAGATACTGGAAAGTATGGTACTAAATTTAAAAGTAGTTTTGACGTTTGGGTTTGAAAGAACAATAATAACAGACGAAAAGCAGAAAAATATTTAATATTTGACTCCCGAAATTATTTATTTTTGATGATCATCTTAAAGCCACGCCACAGGTGATATGATAGCTTATTACGTAGAAAGGTGTCCAGTTGTCTGTGCTGATCCCAGCTCCTAAGGCCACTGTACCCAGTGTTTAATGTTTAATCAGAACCCCATTACGACGCCAACATTATCTAGCTTAGGTATGAGACAACGTAATCCCTTGATTTCTTTATCATTAATACAATTATAATTTCTTTGTGCTACTTTATTAAAGGTAGGTTTCTCTCAAATTTGAATGTTATCTTCATCTGAAGTTGGTCTCTGAATACAGATATGCCTGTATTTGCCCCAATTAATAAAGCACAGCTGTAACGTATTCCAACTAACTGAAATTCAGGCATATCTATAAAGGTTGCTTAATTGTTTCGTATATATAAAAACTTTAAAGCATAAATTTAAAAGAAATAAAGTAATGAGCCATCAACACAAAAATGTAATAATACAAGATGTAGTGTTATACTAAATTTAGGTTTGTGGTTGCATATATGAGAACATTGTTTACAAATGACTTAATTCAGAGCATTTCAAATTGAAGAAATAGTGTAATAAACTAGCATGTGTATATAAATATATATTTATGAATTTCTGTCACATTTTAAAATGAAACATCAATTGTTTCTGTAGCCTCAGCATTTCCCTAGGCCCACATGTGCAGAGGCGAATCTAAGGGGTTGTCACTAGCACACGTGACACACTCCAGGCCTTGACTTAAACAAAATAATAGTTTTATAACTGCATCTATCGTGTGAAACGGTTTAACCCCCAGGCTCCATTTGGTGTGTGCACTGTTACCTTAGGGCCTAATGTGCAAATCAATATGCTTATTTAATTTCTTGACTTGTGATTCTAGTTATGTATTGCACTGCCCTAGCCATCACCCCATCAAGCAGGTTTAAACTGAATAAAATAACTTAAGAAGTGACCCTTGGAAAAGGCCAACACTTGTATCTTACTTTATTTTGTGCAACATTACATGGTTACAGACCACATGCGTCGCAGAATTATCAGAAAATCTGAAAAATATTCTAGATCCGCCCCTGATGAAGTTAGACGTACTTGTTTGTTTGAGATTGTAGGTGTCAAACCCGCCTTGTTTCAAAGTGATGTAGGTTAACATGTTGCACTCGGCTGATTACGGTACTCAACGGTATACTATAGGAACGGAATCTGCCGACTGATTTAAGTCATATCATACTTTCGTCTACATATTCACACAGTGACATTAGTTTGGACAGAAATAAAGAAATGACACACATATTCAGTCTTTGATAGGTATGATTTAGAATTGCAAGTGAGCTAGCTAGTCCAGCTTAATGATGGGTCATATTTCCGCATTACACAGGCCATTCGGAACAGTGTGTTCCGAAAGCCGTTTCCCGATCGTCAGTGGATTGTGAGCAGACGTTACCTTTCAGGATGGAGAAGGTCCCAACGATAAGTTAAATTCAACACAAGGTAATGATCAGAAGTCATCTGTCACGTTATATACTTTGCTGTTGATTTGTTTAAATGGGGAAACTAGTCAATGTTTGCCACTTAATTTATTAAGGTGCGGTCATGAATGTCCTGTTTTATCACTTCCTAGTTGTAAAGTTTACAAGCCGAGCTGTTTCGTCTTGGTTTACAGAATATTGTACCGTTTAACGCTTGTCACATTATTAAACAGCAGTCAAGACATTATTTGTGTGATTAATAGGAGACTTTTAAGAAAAATCGTGAACAGATTCTACTGTAGCTATATAATACACACATACTTTCGGTCGAAAGGAAAGTGGATATTCCGATGAGTCAGGTTTACCGAGAAAACAAATGTACACACGCTTACGTATCTAAACGGCGCAGGGTCCTTGAGGACATGTACTGCGCATGCGTTGTGTACAGCAGTCTCTGTGACAGCCACAAAGTATACCAGAAGCTAGTTTACTATGATTACAACAATGATGGCTGATTCCTTGGATTCTGTGCATCTTATATCTTTTAACTGACCCCACATAATCCTTTCTGTAACCCAGTCACCATTTCCAGAGCTTGAAGGCTTTCAGTAGATACTGGAAAGTATGGTACTAAATTTAAAAGTAGTTTTGACGTTTGGGTTTGAAAGAACAATAATAACAGACGAAAAGCAGAAAAATATTTAATATTTGACTCCCGAAATTATTTATTTTTGATGATCATCTTAAAGCCACGCCACAGGTGATATGATAGCTTATTACGTAGAAAGGTGTCCAGTTGTCTGTGCTGATCCCAGCTCCTAAGGCCACTGTACCCAGTGTTTAATGTTTAATCAGAACCCCATTACGACGCCAACATTATCTAGCTTAGGTATGAGACAACGTAATCCCTTGATTTCTTTATCATTAATACAATTATAATTTCTTTGTGCTACTTTATTAAAGGTAGGTTTCTCTCAAATTTGAATGTTATCTTCATCTGAAGTTGGTCTCTGAATACAGATATGCCTGTATTTGCCCCAATTAATAAAGCACAGCTGTAACGTATTCCAACTAACTGAAATTCAGGCATATCTATAAAGGTTGCTTAATTGTTTCGTATATATAAAAACTTTAAAGCATAAATTTAAAAGAAATAAAGTAATGAGCCATCAACACAAAAATGTAATAATACAAGATGTAGTGTTATACTAAATTTAGGTTTGTGGTTGCATATATGAGAACATTGTTTACAAATGACTTAATTCAGAGCATTTCAAATTGAAGAAATAGTGTAATAAACTAGCATGTGTATATAAATATATATTTATGAATTTCTGTCACATTTTAAAATGAAACATCAATTGTTTCTGTAGCCTCAGCATTTCCCTAGGCCCACATGTGCAGAGGCGAATCTAAGGGGTTGTCACTAGCACACGTGACACACTCCAGGCCTTGACTTAAACAAAATAATAGTTTTATAACTGCATCTATCGTGTGAAACGGTTTAACCCCCAGGCTCCATTTGGTGTGTGCACTGTTACCTTAGGGCCTAATGTGCAAATCAATATGCTTATTTAATTTCTTGACTTGTGATTCTAGTTATGTATTGCACTGCCCTAGCCATCACCCCATCAAGCAGGTTTAAACTGAATAAAATAACTTAAGAAGTGACCCTTGGAAAAGGCCAACACTTGTATCTTACTTTATTTTGTGCAACATTACATCGTTACAGACCACATGCGTCGCAGAATTATCAGAAAATCTGAAAAATATTCTAGATCCGCCCCTGATGAAGTTAGACGTACTTGTTTGTTTGAGATTGTAGGTGTCAAACCCGCCTTGTTTCAAAGTGATGTAGGTTAACATGTTGCACTCGGCTGATTACGGTACTCAACGGTATACTATAGGAACGGAATCTGCCGACTGATTTAAGTCATATCATACTTTCGTCTACATATTCACACAGTGACATTAGTTTGGACAGAAATAAAGAAATGACACACATATTCAGTCTTTGATAGGTATGATTTAGAATTGCAAGTGAGCTAGCTAGTCCAGCTTAATGATGGGTCATATTTCCGCATTACACAGGCCATTCGGAACAGTGTGTTCCGAAAGCCGTTTCCCGATCGTCAGTGGATTGTGAGCAGACGTTACCTTTCAGGATGGAGAAGGTCCCAACGATAAGTTAAATTCAACACAAGGTAATGATCAGAAGTCATCTGTCACNATTGTTTCTGTAGCCTCAGCATTTCCCTAGGCCCACATGTGCAGAGGCGAATCTAAGGGGTTGTCACTAGCACACGTGACACAACCCAGGCCTTGACTTAAACAAAATAATAGTTTTATAACTGCATCTATCGTGTGAAACGGTTTAACCCCCAGGCTCCATTTGGTGTGTGCACTGTTACCTTAGGGCCTAATGTGCAAATCAATATGCTTATTTAATTTCTTGACTTGTGATTCTAGTTATGTATAGCACTGCCCTAGCCATCACGTGCACCCCCTCAAGCAGGTTTAAACTGAATAAAATAACTTAAGAAGTGACCCTTGGAAAAGGCCAACACTTGTATCTTACTTTATTTTGTGCAACATTACATCGTTACAGACCACATGCGTCGCAGAATTATCAGAAAATCTGAAAAATATTCTAGATCCGCCCCTGATGAAGTTAGACGTACTTGTTTGTTTGAGATTGTAGGTGTCAAACCCGCCTTGTTTCAAAGTGTGATGTAGGTTAACATGTTGCACTCGGTTGATTACGGTACTCAACGGTATACTATAGGAACGGAATCTGCCGACTGATTTAAGTCATATCATACTTTCGTCTACATATTCACACAGTGACATTAGTTTGGACAGAAATAAAGAAATGACACACATATTCAGTCTTTGATAGGTATAATTTAGAATTGCAAGTGAGCTAGCTAGTCCAGCTTAATGATGGGTCATATATCCGCATTACACAGGCCATTCAGAACAGTGTGTTCCGAGCGAGTCCGGCAAAAGGCAGCTGTGTAAAACCACGGACTTAGATAACAGGGATTGGCAACACCACTCTCGTCTAGCGTATGTATTGTCCACCTCTTGTATTTGTGCACCGAACCGTGATGACTTGTAACACTCTCGCTGAAGCCAATTTACCTGTACTGCGCTTGCGTGTGACCTAACAGACAAGTTTCCGGTATCGATAACCACGTTGTTTACCTAGGTGATGAGAGACCGAGAATGTGACACTGATTTGACAGATCAGTACAGTGTAACAACCATGACTAAAACAATAGAAAACGAATGCATACACGTGATGATGTCGCAAGCATATCTGTTCATGTCAAGCAGCATCAGGTAAGTATCTGATCGGATGATACATCATTGTCAAATATGACTGACTTTTTATCCCGTGAAAGTTATTTAGATTTAGACTTTTTAATGAAAGAATTTACTGATAATGAACGTAAAACTTAATATTTCGGAGGTGATAAAAGACGTCTTTGGATATAGGCAGCTAGCTATATTTCGAGGGCATACACAGCACGCTAGAAGCACAGGGGTTCGTTACAAATGTCTAATACACATGTACATATACTATACTGATATAGGTCACAGCACATGTATGTTTATGAAGACCGTGACCTATATCAGTATCAAAACGGTATGTGTATTTTGTAACGAAACCCCTGTGGGGGAAGTGACTTAAAGGGTTAACTTTTAACAATAACTTTGTCCTATTACCTCATTTTAAATTTAAACCATTTATAAGAAAAATACAGAAACATCAGCTGACCTTTTGCCTTTGCGTGTTATTCTCGAAATTTTGAGATAGGTCATTCAATATATGTACCTAAACAATAGAACACTTTTATAAGTTTATATTTCTAGGCAACAATCAAAGGCATTTTTCAAACCTGAATTCATCCATCTTGGCTCCACGTACATGTATATCCTTTGTCTTCATTGATATAGTTTATACAGAAATATATTCACGATTTCTGCGACATGATTTTAGTTAAACATCACAGCAAGTTACATGACAGCCCGGAGCTAATTTTAATGAATTCATTGAATTAAATGTCAATCATTAGCAAGTATATGTATATCATATACATATTTTGGTGCAACTTATTCGAAATTACTCCACATGGTGCATTTTCCCAGCTCCTTTTTTTATTTATGTATTCTGCGTTAAAAAATGTGACATAAACTTTTGTCCCAGCTCTATGAACCAGGCTTAAAATAAAAATGTTTGTCTGAACCAGACTTTACCAAAAATGGACAAAATAGTTCATTGAAATTTTGAATTTCATTTAATCATGTTTCAATTCAGCATTTTGTCAATATTTAATGACTATTGAGAAATGATTGACTTCATAAAATGAGCATTGATTCTGCGAAAGGACATGTCTATTTGATATTTAATGTCTTTGCTGTAACCAAAATATTACACATTCTAATTCCGTGGTAAAACTAGCTTTGCGCACAAACTGTTTCGTATTTTTCTAAAGCAAGTGTAATTAACACCAATATAAAATATTATGAAGAAGTTAAGTTGATATATTTAAATATTCATTATTATATTAACACATATATTTAAAAAGATTGGTATCAGGAAGCATACATTACTATATACTAAAATGGCTGGAATAATCCCGAGTTATAAACTTTTCCGAACGAAACTCTAGTGTTCCGAAGAGCCATTGGGAACTTAGAAAATGTCTGTGAAGTTGCAGGGTTTGATTATTCAAATGACCATTGGTTTTGTTGGCCAAAAAGAAAAAGAGTCAGAAATAGTTCTTATTGATGAGAATCACTGTCATTTGTTAATCTGTTACACGTCATTTTCAACCAGAATGAGACAAATGAAAGTGGTTTGCTGAGGATTTATATGGTGAGGGTCCAGTAGTGCAGCTATAATGATGCCAAACTCGGTAAGAGCGCAGAATTATTGTCATAATCAGTCACCACATACTCAAATATAAAGTGAGATTTTAAAATTCATCTTGATTGATGTTATTTTTCGTACACCGCCTCGTTGAAGAATTCTAGTTTGGTTTGATTTGGGGTGGGAGATGGGGGTTGTTATTTGTTTTATATTATTAATGAGGAAGTATTGGTTTCTTTGACATATGTCTTCCTGAGGTATGCCGTTTATTCCAAGTTTCTGGTTAATGAATTTACAGCAATTTTGAGGTAAAGATACAGATAGTTGATGTCAGAAAGCTGAGTTAGTTGATTCAACATTTATCATTCACATCACTTGTCTTGCTTGTTGTAAGCAAATTTTATTGATTTCTGCTGATTATCCTGTGTTATAAATTCATGGTTTAAAGTTTGTGCTCATGTATTTTGTGAGTTAACAGGTAAAGGATATGTACAACTGTTCAGTGTTCCTCCAAACCAATCAAATTAGTTAACCTCCCCTCACCCACCCCAAGTAGTTGGATTAGATTGTGTCCCATTTTTCAAAGACACCTATATGTTAATTTAGACCTGGTGGTAAAGAATCTTGCAATCTACCAGATATAATCAAATCTTAAATACACGAAGAATATTTGTAATGAAATACAATTTATTATACCCAGAACATTAACTGCTTATTTTTTACATTTGATCTAACTTAGTTGACCTCTCTAGGTTAATTTTAAGTCCAAGAAAAAATTCACAAAAATAAATATTTTACAGGCAATTTTTTATCAAGAATAGTTATACTAAGTATGTGTACATATCCCTATAGCAAGGTTATTTTATTAGATTAAATTAATCTCTTCATCTTTATTTATGAAAAGTGTCTGACACTAGATCATAAACTAGGGAACTTAGATATAATTTCAAAAATGAAGAATGTCTTATATTTCAGTTCCTTTTCCAAATGAATTTTATCACACAGGGGAGCATATGGTAACTGGACTTTTCCCACAAAGTTTGAATCAGATTCCAAGAGAAATATTCAGTTTACTAATACACGAGCAAGATACTTTACTCCGCTTGTTCCAGTCTACTCAGCTGTAAATGAGTATGTGGTTGGGCAGTGCTAGAAATGTAGAATGCTAGCTGTGAGTGCCGAAATGGCAGCACCGACTGTATGCTCCCCAGGGAGGTGAGAAAGATATTGACTGGTTGCAAATATATACAATAGAAGATATTATATATAATAAATCAGCGTCACAGTATATATTTATTTTGCTGCACACTTAATAAGCATGTGACATGTCCCTGTAACCCATATCTAATTATAGGCAAGTAGCTATAGGGGAATTATTATTGGAAGCCAATATCAACACATCCAACTAATACGGCACATTTAAACAAGGGCCCCATGGGTTTAACAGGTCACCTGAGTTGTAATACAATTGTTATTTGTTGTTGTGATATGACAAAAACAAATATTACATATGTATAGCAGGGAATTTTATCCCTCCCCAATACTGAAAAGTCTCATTTCCATAAACTATAGCAAAATGTACCCCCTCCCTACCTTCTCTACTACCAATACAAACATCCCATACACAACCTTTGCATCCGGCATCAGCTCCTATAAGTCAGGTATCACCTATACATCAGGTATACATCTCCTATAAATCAAGTAAACACCTTCAGGTCACTCCCAAATATCAGGTACCAGGTATACACCTTCCATACATCAGGTATACACCACCTATACATCAGGTATACACCACCTATAACTCAGGTATACACCTCCCATACATCAGGAATACACCTCCCATACATCAGGTATACACCACCTATAACTCGGGTATACACCTCCCATACATCAGGAATACACCTCCCATACATCAGGTATATACACCTCCCATACATCAGGTATACACCACCTATAACTCAGGTATACACCTCCCATACATCAGGTATATACCTCCTATACATCAGTTAAACACCTCCCATACATCAGGAATACACCTCCCATACATCAGGTAAACACCACCTATACATCAGGTATACACCTCCCATACATCAGGAATACACCTCCTATACATTAGGTATATACACCTCCCATACATCACTCATCAGGTATATATACCTCCCATACATCAGGTATATACACCTCCTATACATCAGGTAAACACCACCTATACAGCAGGTATACACCTCCCATACATCAGGAATACACCTCCTATACATTAGGTATATACACCTCCCATACATCAGGTATACACCACCTATAACTCAGGTATACACCTCCCATATA